CTGCACCGGCCGCGTCGTCGCGGCGGGGGAGGCGTGCCGGATGGGCCTCGTGGACGCCGTGGTCGATGCCACGCCCGGACGGGACTTACTCGAGGTGGTGATGGAGATCGGGGCGAGAGGGGTGGGGACGCGGGAGGGGAGGGGAGGGCCGTCATGGAGTGGCCCGGTGAGGGCGCTCGGGCGGTACCCTTTCCACCTCGCTTATCTCGCGTGGATGGAGCATCGAGTGAGCGAGGGGGCCCCACGTGGGGTGCGGGCCCTGCATCTTGCCGTCCAGGCTGTCCGCCTGGCGGTGGACCACGTCGATGACTTCGACCGCGGTGTGGTCGCCGAGGAAGCGCTTTTTCGCCGCTGTTTGGCGGAGCGGCCCTGCGCGGCGATGCAGCATCTTCTCCGGGCTGCCGATCGCGCGCTGCGGGAAGGCGAGACTCGACGCGCGGCGATCGCAACATTACCATTCCGCCGCGCCGTGGTGCTCGGTGCCGGGGCGGTGGGTTCTTCCCTCGCGTTTTTGCTCATTCAGTACGGACTGCAGGTGGTGCTTGTGGAGCCCTGCCCTTCGCGGCAGCGCCGGGTCCTCGCGCACATCCGCGCTGCGATCTTCTCGGCGGTGCGGGCGAAGCTCTACCCCAGCCTCGCCGGCGCGCGGTCCCTCCTCTCCCGGCTCTCGGTTGTCTGCAGTGAGTACCACGACCTCTCTGAAATCTTCTCAGACGCGGATATCGTTTTTGAATGCATCACGGGATCACTGGGGGGGAAGCGGGAGGTCTTTTCCTATCTCGGCCGAGTTTGCACGCCTGCGTGTGTGTTGGTGGCGGGCTCCGGGACCATCGACGTGTCGAGTCTAGCGTCCGCGGCAAGTCATCCGGAGCGCGTCCTCGGCATGCATTTCTACCCCCCTGCAAACGAAAGCCCAGTGGTGGAGATTTCCCGGCTTCCCTGCACGGATTCCATCCCTCTTCACCGCGTTCTCGCGCTGAGCGATCGGCTGAACAAATACGTCGTCCTCACACACAGCGGCGGGGGAAGCCACCTTGGGATGCTGCTCCTGCTCGCGGGGTTATATCAAGCCTACGCCATGCTCGAGGACGGCTGCTTCCCTCACGATGTGGATGGCGTCTTGAAGAAACATTTTAACTTCCGCTTTGGCATTTTCGAGGTTGAGGATATGATCGGCCTTGATGTGATGGCGATGGCGCGAGCCAATCTCCCACCCAGGCGCTTGCCTGTGCGAAAGGTGTTTGACGTCGCCGACAAGCTCGTGGAGTGCGATCTGGTAGGTCGGAAAAGGGGCGAGGGGTGGTATCGGTATAAGGGAAAAATGGCCTCCTACTTTGAAAGAAGTGATTCACACGGCGACTCATACGGGGAGGGCCCTGCGCATCCGAAGGACGGCATTGTGGACGATGAGGCCATTGCCGCGTCGCTCGTAAGCGTTAATACCGGCAGCATCACTGCGGCGGCTCGCGGGAGTCGATCGGGCAACGCCGCGGATGAGGTGGTGCTGCCTTTTAGGCCCAACTCAATGACCTCAACGTCGGTTTGGAATCCGATTGAGTGGCGCCTGTCCAACCTCCTTCCAGGGGGTGAGTGGCAAACCCTGCTCGCCACCCACTCGATGTCAACCGTACACAACCGAAGCGTGGAGAAGCGAATTTTGTCAATCAGTAAATGTAAAGGATTTCAACGCCGCTACGTCACCGAGGAAGAGATAATCGACCGCGTTTTACTCGTCATGATCAATGAGGCCGCCAGATTGCTTGGAGAGGGCATCGTTGAATCCACAGGCGATGTTGACTGCGTGAGCGTCTACGCCTTGGGTTTTCCGGGTTGGAAAGGCGGCCTGTTGTATTACGCTGATGAGGTTCTTGGAATCGACAAGATATTAAAAAGAATGAACATTATGCGTCTTGCATTAGGAAAGGATGTCTTTCCAGAACCTTGCGAGGTCTTGCTAGAGATGCAAAAACAAAAGTTATCGTTTGCGCGTAGATTTAACGGCTTATGATTTTTTTTAAATATTGTAATTTTTACATCTACAAAATTTCTCACTTTCCATTTCTTAATGCCTTGTTTATATTTCGATAAGAACATGGTGCATTTGTTATTCTTCCGCCAATTCAAATAAAATCCAACGAATAACATCAAGAAAAAGCTAACAGAGCGAGAAATATTAGGCGAAATTAGGCTTTTTAAGCATTGTATAATTATACGTTATATATTGTTGCAAACAGTTCTATAAGTGACTTCAAATTATTAACATTTCTTCTCACCACCTTTCTGTTGTCATTTCGTTATTTTAGTGGACGTACTGTTTAATTCATACTGTTTTTCATTTCTTCCCTCACCCCACAAAGAGGAATAAAAAAATAAAGCATTCTTTCCATAGGAAAAGGGGAAAGGAATTCATTGTCTTTTTTTTCCCCCAGATATCACATTGTTTGTGTGTGAGTTACACGATACCGAAAATGTTTCGCCGTTGTCGTTTAGTTCGGGGCATTGTGGAGAGGCTAACGAAGGAAAACTTCACCATTTCGCGTCTTAGTAATGGCCTGCGCGTAGTCACGGCCGATGATGGGGGCGGCATCACCGGAATGGGGCTTTTCACGCTGAACGGATCGAAATTCGAGGACGCCGCGAGTGCCGGCGCCGCGGTCGTTTTCGAGTCGATGCCCCTCGGTGGGAATCATCTTATGAGCGGGAAGGAAGTGAGCGAGACTCTGGGGATGTTCGGAAACGCCTTTCGGGTCACCAACAACAAGGAGGCAATGAGCGTCATGCTAATGCTCCCGCGATATCACCAAAAAGACGGCCTGGAGCTCCTCAACGCGATGTGTTTGCACCCCACCCGCGACCTTGAGGAGTTCGAGGCCGCCAAGGCCAAAACGATGCAGCGCACCGCGTTAATGGAGCGGGATGCCTCGGGGATGTGTTTTGAGCTCGTCCATGAGGCCGGGTGGGATGGGAAAGGGCTGGGAAACCCCACGAATCCTTCCCCGGAGGCCCTGGAAGGTCTCACTTTGGAGGCCTTTACGGAATTTTATCGCCGATGCACCCGGCCCGATCGCACGGTGCTCGCCGCCACAGGGGTTTCCGACCACGATGCCTTCGCCCTCCTCGCGGAGCAGGTTTTTCAATTCGACTACGACGACCGACCCTTCGACTTCCCCATTCACCCTTATACCGGTGGGGTTCGCCTAATTCAGAAAACAGAGGCCCCGGAAAGTATGTTGAAATTCCAGGAAAAGAATTTAAGCCATATGGCGCTCTTTTTCCAGGGCATTCCCATGTCCCATCCGGATTACTACACCGTCTCCGTCATCCAGACGCTGTTGGGCGGGGGCACCTCATTTAGCTCCGGCGGGCCAGGGAAAGGCATGCACACCAAACTCTTTCGCGAGGTCCTCAACCGCGAGGGGGGAATTAACGGGATGGAGTGTATTACGGCATGGTATAGCGATGGTGGGCTGATCGGGCTCTACGGTACCGCCCCGCACGAGAATGCGCAGCGGCTGCTCAAATTAATGATCTTTCAGGCCGCCACCATTCCCCAACGGGTCAGCGAGGAGTACCTCGAGATGGCGAAAAACCAGCTCAGCTCTCAGTTGATTTTGCTCGGCGAAAGTCGCGAACAGATGCTCAGTGATATGGGGTTTAACCTCCTCGTGCAAAATCACGTGATTACGACGCAGGAGACCATACGCGGGAGCGCGGGGGTCACCTTGGAGAATTTGGAGGAGGTCTGCGCAAAGATGATTAAGAAGCCAGTGACCTTTGCGGTATATGGGGAGACCAAGGGGATGCCCACACAGGAAAAATTAGAAACTAGCATCAAAAAAACCTACGTCATTTCAAATGAAAGAGAGGCCGACTCGTAAGGAAGGAAAGGAAAGCCAATCCCCATAGGACTGCATACAGGTGTATTTACAGGCCTTATTATAGGTCAGGTGGTGCAAGTCCTTCGCAAGGTCAACACAGAGCTAGAAACGATGGCTAAGGAAAGCAGAGAGGGGCCTACGATACAAAGCAATCTAAAAAGGTTCAATGAATTCGAGGGAATGCGCCGAACGACTAACTCTTCTCTGCATTCATTTCTGTTGAATCATTGATTTTAGGGCTACTTTGATTAAATAGCTTTTAGAGTGCCAACAATAACACACAATATTATAATAAAAAACTCCAGCATACACTTATGTACCTCAATTTTTGTGCTTTGATTGTCCTTGGTACCTACCTCTCGACGCAGTTCTGGATTTCGAAACTAAATCTTTATTTTTTTCAACATGTTTATTAAATTGACTATGAATTTATTTGAATTTCGGAACTTGTTGTATAAACATCTTCCCCACTACTCTTCAAAAAGTGTATCAAAGACTTATACAATGTCTATTGCTGATATTCCCATTCAATATGTGGGTGAAGATATTCAAGATTTCCCAATTGACAGCGCATCTTCTAATTCATCAACGAGCACTTCCTTCGTGCACCACGGTCTTCATGGAGAGCAAAGTAATCTTTATGAGCTGACAAATATGTGGTTTCGCGCTGGAAAGTCATTTCCACCACTGCAGGGGTTGATTTCAGGGGTGCATCAGTTCGCCGTTATTATTGGTGTCGAGGAGTCCATCGTGTGGGTTCTTTTTAGCGTGTTGGTCGTTCTTTTCGTCTACCGTGTTATTTTTCGCACGGTATTCAAAGCCATTTTTCGCAATCGCCGGGATCTGGTTCTTCTGATTGGTTTGCCATCGAGCGGTAAGACAGCGCTTCTTTCTCAAATCGCCTATGGCTGTGTACCCTCAACACAAACCAGCATCCAGTCGAACCGACTGAAGGTGGAGATAAAAAAAAAGAGGAATACCGTTCAACGTACGATTGTCGATCACCCCGGCCATCAACGGCTGCGAGGTTCTTTGCCCACATTCCTGGCGAGCACCCATAAGTTAGTTGTCGTTATCAATTCCATAACTATCCACAACGATTTCGATGAAGGCGCCCATGCACTTGCAGACCTCCTCGTGGTGGTTTTTCAGTCTCCTGCATTTGTTGGGGTGAAGGCGGTACTTTTTGCGTGCACAAAGCGGGACGAACCAACCAGTTATTCCGCCAAAGCCGTTCAGAAGTTATTGGAAGGGGCGATGGCTAAAGCGTTGGTATCACGGAAAGGCGACCTCGATCGCGTTAAGATGGTGATGGATTCGAATGGAAAAGCCATAGGAAAGGTATCGCACTCCAAGAATACGGGCCGCGGCGGCGTGCTTCAGGTGGATAAACAGGGTTGCTTTTCATTTGATCAACTAGGAGTACCATACCGTTTTGTCGAGATTAGCAGCTTCCCTAACGAAGCTATACACCCATTTAATGTTAAGCCTGTGCTTGATTTTGTAGTCTAATCAGTGGTGCCTTGTCGATTCAATCTTTGCTATAAAGGAATATGACTAGATTTTTTTCTTTTAAAAAGAAGTATTAAGGCCTGTTAACGTGTATGTTTGACACACTGTTAAATTATTTAATTTTTTAACGGGGAAAAAATTAAATGGACGACAAAACCAATTGAATAGGCAAAGCAAACAACAGACATTGATGGTAACTGGGTCTTTTACAATCCAATAATCAAAACACACACATTTAATATTAATATTGTCAATAACAATAAAGTGATCCCTTTGACAACCTTAAGCGTTTGCCCTATTATTATCATTATCTATATCAAAGTATTATTTTGTCTTATAACCGATCCTTATAGTGTATAGGTTAAATTTTAAACGTTTTTTTTTGTGTGCGCGTCCACTTAAAATAAAAGAATCCCACCGTTGGTGTAAAATGCCATTGAATTCCACTAAAACACTCGGGAGCTCCAGCCCCCAGCACACCCGGTCGATCTCCCGCACGACCCCCTCCAGCCATACGCGTAGTCTGGCCATCAGTTCGCGCAAGACGAATCGAAGTACCCGCGAGGATGGCCGAATGTCGGTACGGACGGAGGTTTCTCGACGGGCGCAGGAGCTCAAACGCGGGCTGGAGGCCGCCGTCCACGTTCTCGACAACGGGGTGAACCGAACGCCACTTCCGCTCCATCAACAACGCAGCCTCACGGGGCTCCGCGCCGGGGGGATGAAGCGCGGGCTTTCCGAGGTCAGCCAATTCACCAACGGGGCCTACAACGAGCTCGGGAGCTCCTGCTTTCATTCCTCCTTTATGCACAGCGGGAGCTCGGAGAACCTCAATTCGCACCGAGGGAGCGGGAACATCAGCATTTTCCAATCCTCGATGAATCGGAGCCTGGATAGCAGCATGATCGACCTCCCGAGCGTCCAAAATTCGCTCAGCATCCCGTCCATCACGAATGACGGGGGGAACCAAGCCCAGAAAGGGCCATTTCCCCGGGCTAAAGGGGCCGAGCTCGATAGCAATGGAAACGTCAGTCTTTCCACGGGGATCTCCCGAAAAGGCGTCGGGCCCTCCGCCCGGGATGCCTTTGTTCACGAAAAGCCGCTTCCCATGACCGATCAGCAGCGCCGTTCTTGGGTAAACGCGAAGACGACGATTATTTTATCCGAAACCCCCACCATCTTTCTCTACTTTCACGCCGACGAGGCGGTTTCGAATGAGGACAAGGAGGAGGTCGCGCTTGTGGTGGAGCGAAACAAGGAGCTGGAGAGCATCCAGGAGGCCTATCGCCTGGATGAGAACACGCGCTTCCAAAACAAAGGCACCATCACTTTCACCAAGCCCATGAAGTCCATCCACTGCGAGGTGCGGCCGGTCGAGATGCGGGATTCCGGGCCCTTACAGGTCACGCCGTGGATGTTAAAAGACGTCTTTGCACCCTTGCAGGACTACGACGATGACGCCGAGGAGACCAACTACTACGGCCGCAAGGACGGCGAGACGAACTCGGAGGATGAGGACAAGGAGATCATCAACGAGATCGAGACCACCCCGCCCGGGAGCTCGGGGAATGGGAATGCAAGCGAGCGAACGGACCTGTCGACGATGAACCCGTCCACGATAAACCCATCAGGGGGGGATGGGATGGAGCTTGGCGGGGGGCCGACCTCGGATCAGTGGCTTTTGTCGGAGGCTTTGCCGTCCGTATTGCGGGTGATGGAGCG